CTACTACTACTACTACTACTACTACTACTACTACTACTACTACTACCATCACTACCCTTGTACTACTACTGCTACTACGGCGACGGCTACAGCTACTCCAACTACCACTACGACTACGACTACTACTACTACTACTACTACTACTACTACTACTACTGCTGCTACTACTACTACTACTACTACTACTACTACCTCTACTGCTACTACTACTACGAGTACTACTACTACGACTAGTACTACAACGAATGCTACTACGACTGCGACTACGACTACGACTACGACTACGACTACTACTACTACTACTACTACTACTACTACTACTATTACGACTACGACTACGACTACTACTACTACTACTACTACTACTACTACTACTACTACTACGACTACGACTACGACTACGACTGCGACTGCGACTACTACTACGACCACTACTACAACTGGACCACTACTACTACGACCACTACTACTACGACTACTACTACGATCAATTAATTGGGAATTGTGCTGGAGGCTGGGACTCGGTCTCCACTCAAAAAAACATGCATTGTGAAAAACGATGCTGGAAGCTGGGGCTCGACAATTTCCATCGAATTCCTATTCCTGCAGGCTGGGGCTCGACCATGTCCTATTGAATTGTTATTCAAAAACCGTTCAGTATGAAGGAATTCTGCTGGAGGCTGGGACTCGGAAATCTCCTATCGATTTCCAATTCAAAAACAAATTAATTATTAAGGAATCCTGCTGGAGGCTGGGTCTCGCCAGTTTCCTATTGCATTCACATTACAAAAAAAAACTATTCCAATTTTTTGCTGGAAACTGGGACTCGGCTGTTTCCTATTGAATTCCGTTTCAAACACCCGTACAGTATGAAGGAATTCTGCTGGAGGCTGTAGCTCGGCAGTGTCCTATCGAATTCCCATTCAAAAACCAAAAATGCTTTGAGGCATTCTGGTGGAGGCTGGGACTCGACCATTTCCTAGTGAATTCCTATTCAAAACAAATAGAATATTAGGGAAATCTGCTGGAGGCGGGAACTGAACCATTTCCTTTTGAATTCTTCTTAGAAACAAAAAAACATAATTTATTCAGGAAGCCTGCTACAGGTTAAGACTCGGCCGTTGCCTAATGAATACAGACGTGAAAAATGATAAATGATTACAGAACTCTGCTGCAGGCTGGAATTTTGCAATTTCCGAATGAATTCCCATCGAAAAATGATACCGGGGGGGAAAAAACAATCAGATTGTTGCTGGGTCTATGGGGCTACAGGACTATATTTATATAGGGCTTATGGGGCTATAGGGCTATATGGGCTATATGGCTATAGGGGTATAGTGCTGTAGGGCTATTGGGCGATTGGGCTATAGGGGCTACAGGGCTATAGGGCGATGGGGCAATAGAACTATGGCTATGGAGCTATAGGGCTATAGAACTATAAGGCTCTAGAGCTATAGGGCTCTAGGGCTCTAGGGCTATTGGGCCATGGAGCTATAGGGCTATAGGGCTATAGGGTTATAGGGCTACAAGGCTATAGGGCTATAAGGCTATATGGGCTATATGGTTTATTGGGCTTTTGGGCTATTGGGCTATAGAGCTGTAAGGCTATAGGGCTATATGGCTATAGGGTACCCGGGCACCCCTGGGCACCTCCGGGCACCCCCGAGCACCCGGGCACCCGGCACCCACGGGCACCCGGGCACCCGGGCACCTGGCCACGGGCCACCGAAATCGGGCACCAATGCACCCCCGGGCACCACCGGGCACCCGGCCACCTGGCCACCGGCCACCTAATTGGCGCCCCACCTCACCTAACCATATGAATCCGCTAGGACCCCTACAGAGGCAAGCTCTGATTGGGGAACAGTACATGTTTGAATGAAATCTGCTGGAGGATGGAACTCGAAAATTTCCTTTTGAATTCTTATGCGAAAACCATAAATTAATCAGAAATTATGCTGGAGGCTGGGGCTCGACCATTTCCTATTGAATTCCTGATCAAAAACCAAAAAATGATTCGGAAGCCTGCTGGAAGCTTGAACTCGGCCATTTCCTATAGAAGCCCTATTCAAAAATCAATACAATAGTATGAAATTACGCTGGAGGCTGGGTCTCGACCATTTTGCCGATTTAATTCTTAATGCAAAAACACCTAAAATATGAAGCAGAAGTATGAAGGAATTATGTTGGAGGCTGGGCCTCGACCATTTCCTATTGAAGTCCCGATCAAAAGCCAAGAAATCACCAAAGAATTCTGCTGGAGGCTGGGACTCCGCAGTTTCCTGCTGAATTCGTATTCAGAAACAAATAAAGTATCAAGGAATTCTGCGGGAGGTTTGGGCTTTATTATTTCCATTTGAATTCCCATTCGAAAACCAATAAAGCTATTAAGGGATTCTGCTGGAGGCTGGGACTGGACAACTTCCGATCGAACTCCAATTCAAAAAGCAAATGAAACATTAAGGGATTATGCTGGAGGCTGGGACCCCGCCATTTCCTAGCGAATGCCTAGGAATCCTGCCAGAGTTTTGGCCGTCTTACTGGACAGTGGGGAAAATTACTCCAAGAACCCGTTGTATGTGTATTGGAACCGTGCTCTCAATGCTGCGGCACGAAGGTAACGTGTAAATGCTTGCTTGCCAATGAATGATACACGACGGTGACGTGTGGTGCAAGCGGCACGAAAGTGACGTGTGAAACTGACGTGTTCCTGAATTCTCCCATAGGGATCCGACACTGTCGCGTAACATTCTATGGTACACGGAGGTGACGTGTGGTCAGACACGAAGGCCATGTGTGACCGTACTACTACTACTACTACTACTACTACTACTACTACCACTACTACTACTACTACTACTACGACTACTACTACTACTACTACTACTACCACTACTACTACTACTACGACTACTACTACGACTACTACGACTACTACTAGGACTACTACTAGTACGACTACTACGACTACGACTACGACTACTACTACTACTACTACTACTACTACTACTACTACTACGACTACTACTACTAATAGTAATAATAATAATACTCCTACTCCTGCTCCTACTCCTACTCCTACTCATATTCATACTTATTCTTATTATTATTCTTCTTCTTCTTCTACTACTACTACTACTACTACTACTACTATTACTACTACTACAAATTCTAATGAGAATATTAGCACGCAAAATTACAATACTAAACATAAAAAGAAAAGAAAATATAGCAACAAAAGCAGCATCAACCGCAATAACAATAATTTTTGCAACAAAAATTCTATTACGGAACTTCACCCCCCTTCCTCGACCACCATGGCCACCTCCGCCAATGTCGTCATCATCAGCGTATGTGTCATCTAGCACAACATCAGTATCAGAATCGCCGTCGCCACCGTCATCATCATTATCATCATCAGCATCGTCATCAGCTGCAGCAGCAGCGTCGTCATCATCACAATCGCAGCCAGAATTCTCAACTGATCCGTCATCAAAGCCACCGTTGTCATAATCAATTGCACGTCCGCATTCCGAGTCGTCATCGGTTGCCCTCTTCCGTTCTCCACGTCCCCCTCCCAACGATCAGTATGGAAGAGAGCCACGCCTCATGCAGCCCATTATTGCTCACACAGTGCCAAAACAAGACACTTGCTCCAAAATGCATGCTAATGTGAAGGCGCGGCTGTCCTATGACTATCACGCTGCAACTATCATATATTGATTATGAAACTCATCCTCCTCCTCCTGCTCGTCCTCCTCCTCCTCCTGTCTCTCCGCGCTCGCTTCACCATCTTGTGCGAGCCCGTGTCTGCACGTATGCAATTCATGTGTAGCTGCCTGCGTCCCTCATCTACACCACCGTGTTAGAGGCGTATTGCTCCATTCGTTCTTCTCGGCACCGCCGTGCACGTCCTCTGCTGCTGCCCCCCTCATCTGACTCGCAATCCTCCTCCATTCCACAGAAAGCTATCCCCCTTTGTCACTTTGTGGTTCTGACCTCGGCTTGTCGTTGATGACCGCGATGCCGCCAGACACGATCCAGAAGCTGCGCTCCCCCTCGAACTGTGGGTTTCCTTGGCGACTGGGCATGGCGAATGGTGGGAGCAGTCGTTGGACAACAAAGGCTTTGGGACGGCATGTTCTTCAGTAAGTGCACCAAGTAACAACTGAGAAAGTCACAGCATCCAGTCCCCAAAAGGCTTGCCAGGAGGATGAGCCCCCATACAGGGACAAAGTGTGATCTGTCTCATCTTACGCACGCGGTAGAGATGAAAGCAATCCTGCCGTGTTCTATGGCACCGCTTGCACAATGAAACAAACAACGTTACGACGGCCGGGAGCCCGTATCCAGTACACCTTTGTTGCTGCAACCACCAGCAACAGCTGATTATGCAGACCATAACGACGAACTACAACCTCAAAACTCACAAGTCCTGGAATCAGAGGGTGCATCCCCGAAACTCAACGGATTACACCGTGCGAGAAGGCCGTACACGACAACATTGCTCGAAAACACATGGTGATCCAACATCGAAAGGGTTGTGATGAATGTGGTTGGTCAGCACGCACGGCAAAATACGGCGCGCGGACACGGCACGGCACGGCACACCCGTCGGCACACGGGCACGGCAGACGGGCACGGCAAGGCGATTATTACGCAGTCTAGAACTGACGCGCGGCACGGCACGGCACATTTCCCGCATTGCACAGCCTGGCACACAAGCACGGCACAACACGTTTGCCATCTTCTCGAACACTGGCACTTGATTGCACGGCGCGGCACGGCAAGACGCGGCACGCGAGCGCGGCACATTTCTCCCATTCAGAAACCGAAGCACGGCACGGCAAGGCACCGTGGCACGGCATGGCACGGCATTTCCCTACCTTGTGTACAAAACCGTGGCACGTCACGGCGCGTCACATCTTCCGCATGCTACGACCTTGGCACGGAACATCAGGGCACGCGGGCACGGCAAGGCACACTCGTCGCCTTCCCGAACATTGGCACGGCATGGCACGGCGCGGCAAGCAGGCACCGCACATTTTCGGTACTCTAAAACTGGATGGAGATTTCCCCCAAAACGCTCGAGCCGTAATGTCATACGGCCTTTATCTCATGCTTCTCTCCGCTTCCCGGGCTGGGGATTCATCCAGCCCTCCTAGCCAACCGCACATTCCGCGTGGTCGGCCACACTCTTTCACTCGCCGCCTCTTCGGGTGGCTCCAACACAGCGGAGCGCCGCGATCCACTTCCGATCAGCACCCCAGAAAACTCAACAACGCAAACATGGTACCCAAACGGTCCCTCGAGGCAAAACTCCCCACAGCCATGCTCAGACGCTCGGAAGTGCGTCCACCTCCACTCCATCACTCAGCCGCCCAGCGCCGCACGCATGGCCAGCCGGCGTCGATCCTATCCCGGCACGAAACCCATCGTGTTCAGGATTTGTGCCATGAGACGGCCCTCGAGGCACTTGGCCCCCCATGTACTTCGGGCTATCGAGTCCGAGCTCTCAGCTTCTTCTGCTGCAATGCCATCTGCAGCCAGAGCAGGGGCGCGCGCAGATGGCGAACGCGTCCCATTTCATGACGCTCTGCGATAACCTCGCCCGCGGTCGCGTCGCAGTTGAGACGCACCTCGAGGTCCGTCCCCACGTCTCGTGCGAGAATATCGTGTCCAAGCCTTACGCTGACACCCTCCACTAGTGCGTGGAACTCCGCTTCCCTCGTGGATAGCGCATTGAATCCCTAGGTAGGTCGAGCTGCTCCGAATCCAGCGTTGGCCTGTCGTGGGCGAACAGAGCGACAATGACGATGTCGCCTTCGTCGCCCGTGGACAATAAGCGGAATCCCTGTCGGTGAAGATCGAGGCCATTCGTCGATCTATCTAACGAGCGCACTTCACCACCAACCCCGGCTGGCCAATGAGGTGGCGCCCGATCTGCTGCGCGGCTTGCCATCCGCCATCTGTCCGCGCATCGCTGGAGCTGCCCAATTCGCCGCAGAATGAAGACCAGGTCGATCTTAAGCTCAGAACTGAACGCGCGCGCAGATGGATCAATGGATAGAAGTTCGTTCTCGACCTTGAAGCTCCTCGCCGCCCATCTCCTGCCCCTCCGCCCCAAGAGCCGCCGCCGCCTTCCACGCGCGGCCTTGCAAGTCCAGCTGCGCCAGGATGATCTCGACACGTCTGGGGTCGGCCCTGCACTCGATCCTTTCGTTTTCCAACCCAGTCGCCCCCCCCCCCCCCCCTCGCGACCCCGCTGGGCACCACGACCTCGTCGATATCGGCGCAGGGCGACTCGGGCCCCATCGCTCCACGAACCTGCACGATGAGATGCTCGTCCAATACAGCCGCGACCTCCTCCAACTCCTTCGGATACCGAGCACCGCGAAATCGCGCAACAGCTCGCCAACCATGTAGATGCCGAGCGAGGACTCGCCCTGCTTCGCCTCAAAGAGCCCCACCATGATGTCGTCCACCGTCTGTCTGGTCGAACGCTGATCCAGCACCGCGTAGCCGCTACAGCCCGCGCATCGCCTTCAGAAGCAGCCGGTACTCATCCTCGATGCAGTCCTGGTCCTCAGGTAGACTTGCCTCTCCAGCTAGGAATGCACATGCGCTCTCGAAATTTCGATGAACGCCAGCACTCGGTCGCGATCCCTGCCCGCCACGGCATGAACAGGACCGCCCCTGGGCCCTCCAGCGGCGGGGTCGCCGCGAGCGCTGAGCCCCCTCGCCCCTTTCGGCTGCCAGCCGGCTTCAACTCTTGCTTGGACTCGTCGCCCATTTCGGCGTCGACCCATCCGCTGGACAGGCCCGGCGACCGCGGCGCGCAGCGCTTCGCTGATCTGGATATCCCGCCTCTCGAACACGCCCAGCCGGGCCATGTAGCCCATCTCGTCGAGTCGGGCATTCTTCGCGCCCGCGGGGCCAAGCACGGCCCCGCTGATCCCATCGTAGACGGTCGCGCCTTCGCTCGCCAGCCAAGGCCTCTGGCCCCTCCGCAGGTCTGACCCGCGTCGAACGCGTCGAAGCCGCGCCCGATCCTCAGCTCGCCCCTAATCGCGCGCTGGATAGCCACGACCAACTCCACCGGGCACCTCTCTGCCGCCTTCGCCCTCCCACGCAGGAAGCGCGCGCCCGCGGCCCCCGTCGCCCGGGATGCCGACCCGCATCGCCACCTCAAGGCTGGTCGCCATCCAGCCAGTCGGCTTCGCCACAGCACCTCCGAGCCACCCAGCCCGCACGACTTGGCGCCGAACAATCACTGGTTGCCCTTGACCACCCCCGCTGCTGGATGCCCTCGAACTCCTGCCGCGCCCTCCTCCCCGCTCGTAGCGGACCCTGGGTGCTCGGACAGAAAGAACATCTTCTTCGCGCGCTGGTAGGCGGCCAGCTCCACGCAGAAGCCCAGGTAGACCATGCACTCCGCGAGCAGTCTTCGGGGCTTAACCTACCCCCCCAGCTGCCCGCCCTCGACGGCAACTCCATCAGCTGCGAGAGCGGAGCGCACGCTGGCGACATGTATGGGAACGCCTGGCTGCCTTCCTCGACCTCAACTTTAACTCAATCGCGATTCTCCTCGAGCTGGAAGCCCGAGCCCGTCCTAAAGTCCATCGCCACCCCAGGCTTCAGGCTAAACAGGGGAGCGTATTACGCGAACCCCTCCGGGCTGAACACCTCCGCCATGTCCAGGCTGCACATGCCCAGCTGCTCCAGCAGCGCGTTGATCTCCCTCGAAGCGCCGACCATCTCCACGCCCGCACTCGCCGCCGGCGCACCTGGCGAAGCTGCGCCCGATGAGCCCCCCTCGGGTTGCGCGGCGCCAGAAGGCGAATCCACTCGGCCACAGACTCTGGTCGACCGCCACCCCCCGCGATCTCCTAACCGCGGGCGCGCCCCCGCGACTCGCGCGCCACCGCCGAACGCGCCGTCGCCCACCATCGCCTTCTCGATCCTGGCCCCGCACTCCTCGCCGCGCACGATCGCGCCCCGAGTGCCCCGAGCCGCCGCGCGCCCACGACAGCCCCGGGCGTCGCCGCAGCGCCGAAACTGGGCGCCCTTCCCGATGTAGACGCGTCTCGGCGCAGGCGGGCCCGCGGGCCCAAGAGCTGGGCGGGCCCGCGTCTGCCGCCGCATGGTCGGCCAATCTCGACCGCCGCTGGCGGCGGCCCCAATCCTTCACACTCATGCCGGGAACGGGCTGCCGAAGGGCGCCCTGCCCCTCGCCCGCGCCACCCACTTCGGCGCCGCCGCGCACGCCGCGTCGCCGTCGCCCCGGGCGCCGTAGAAGACGCAGCCCAGCCGCCTGTCCACTGGCCGCGGCCCCCGCTCGCCCACCGGCAGATAGAAAACCTCATTGCCGAACCTCGGGGGCGGCCTCTCGCGCGGGCGCCCCAGCCTCAGCTCGCGAACGGCGCGGCCGCCCGAATCCATCTGACCCGACCCCCGTCGCGCGCGGCCGCGCAATGCCTGGCCAGCCGCGACGCCGCGCAACTCCTCCACCGTGCGCCTCAGGGCCCCCAAGCGGCCCCCCATGTCCCTGATCGCCCTCCGGCCAAGCCGTTCGACTGAGACTCGCCGACAGCCGAGGTCTCGATCTCGCATTCGACCCCGCGGCCCTTCGAGCCCCGCCACGGCTTCGCCCCTCGGCGCTGGGACGCTGGCCTCGACGTCGCAACGGAGAGCCGCCCTCTTGAACCCGGCGCGCAGCCAGTACTTCACCAACGCCTCAACGCTGCGCTGACGCCTCGAACCCTCGATCGCCAGCACCTCGGCGCCAGCGCACCTGCGCGGGTAACCTATCGCACGCAAGATCGGGAGCGCGCGCCCCCGCCGCGGCCAAGATAGCCGCAGCCGATTGCCACGACTGGGACTGCATCTTCTTCGCGGCCCCACGCAGCGCTAGCAACAAGCCCGAAACGGCGCGCGCGACGCCCCATGATCTTCTCGCACTAGCCGCGTCGGTTCGCGCGGCCGACACGCCACCCTCGCCGCTGACCGCTCTCGGGCCCCCTTTGGCGCCGGCGACGGCAGCGCGGCCTGAGGCGACTGTTCCGCTTGAACTGGCCATCGCGCTGGCCCAGGCGGCGCCGCCGGGGCGCCCCCCGACGCCAGGCCGCTCCCAGCACCTCCATCTCCATCGCCCCAGACCACGCAGAGAAACTTCGGCTTGCGACGCCTGCTCTGGCCCTTCTGGGAGACGCCGACCGCGGCGTCAATCGCCTCCTTCGCCTGCGCGCAGGGCGGGAGGCCCACCTCCATCTCGCACGCGTTGGAACGGGGCGAGGGCCCCCGATGATTTTCTGCCGCGCGCAACTGCGGACCGAGTCGAGCAGTAGCTTGCGCCCCGCGTTGACCATCTCCGATGCTGAGGCGAACGCCTTACTCACGGCTGCCACTCTCGCCTTGATGCCTCGCACCTGCCCCGCGCCGCTCCGTCGCGCCCTCGGCGCTCATGTCGTTCTCGCACGTCGGGCAGTCGGGCGCCACGCCCTCCGGCACCGCCGACGCAGCCGCGCGCAAGCCGGCGCCCATCAAGACCTCGCGGCCGGCCCTGCACGCGCCCGCGCCGAGCCCACTCAGCTCGCGCGCCAGCTCGTCGCCCACCAGGCCGCGATCGGCGACCACGTCGAACGCCCTCTGGGCCACGCCCTTCTCGTCGACCATGAGCGGCGCAAGCCAAAGCCCGCGCGGCAGCGACATCTCTGGTTCGGGCTCGCACGAGCGGGTGGTATCATTCTTCTTATTCTTCCTGGTATTAGTATTCGCACTTTTCTTGTGTTCTTCTTCTTCTTCTTCATACGTCCCTTCTTACCATTGTGAGTATGATGATGATTGATCTTCTTCTTCTACTAAGCGCAGTCCCGACAGATGTGCCCGTTGCCCTGGCAGCTGCAGCACTTGGGCCCCTCGCCCTCCTTGCCGTCCTTCGCCTGGCCAGACTTGCAGGCCTTGCCGTTTCCACGCCCTCTGCCCTTGCCGCCCATGTCTTCTCTTTTTCTGCATCGACCGCGTTCAGCCCCACCTCCTGTGCGATGCCAGCAGTTCCTCTTCTTGTGGCCTTTTTTACCCCCTCAGATGTTGCATCGACCCCGACGTTTTCCACCGCCGTTGAACGCCGAAGAAGCCACGGGCGCCACCCCATCGTCAAGCGCCGCCGCTACTGCTGGGAAACGCCCCGCGTTCAGAATCTCCTTTCGGAACTTCGGCCACTGCTTCAATCTCGCCGCATTCAAGCTCACGCGCTGCCGCAGCAGCGACTCAGGAAGCCGTCGAAGCACGGTGTGGATTTTGATCGTGTCCCTGAGGGTCTTGTCGGAGGCTGACTCGCACAGGCTGACCTCTCGCTCAAGGGCTTCGAGACGGACCATCATTTATCCGCTGAAGTCCCAGGCCACTAGCGCCACTAACTGTCCTGCGTATATGTTCGATGCCTCGGGCTCGAATAGTACAGCATTTGTCGCCATGCATCGAACCCTTCTAACTTGCCCGCATTCAGCACCACGTCAAGCGCCCGGCTCCTACACCGAGTGTCATCGCGAGCTGCCCGTCGCCGGGCTCGAGGTTGACCGTGATCACTGGGTCTGCTGGTCTTTTTGAATTTGCCATCGCCGCGGCCACGTTCGGGTTCGTAGTTCCTGCGCAGGCCTCGAACACCACTGACCAGTCTCGCCACGGCGGCTTGGCTCCGTCGAACATTCTTGGCTTGCCAATCATATTAGTATTTGCGGCCGTCCTTTCGGACCCCAGGTCTAGCGGAACTGCCGCTGCAGCCGCTGCCAGTTGACCCGTTCGATCTGTTGTTGCCTGGGTGGCGCCCGCCGCTCTACCTGCGGCGTTCGCCTCCGCCTTTGCTTGCCGCAGCTATGCTTGAAAATGTTCCAGGGCTTGGCGGAGGGCCTGAACGTCCTCAACTGAAACCATCTCGGCCTGGCTGCTTGGTCTCGTTCAGCAGTCGTCCTTGGTGTGGCCAGCACCGTCTTTTGAATACCAGGCGGGCTAGCTCGCGGGTGAAGCTCGCCCACGTCCAGATCACATCCATTTCGTCGTCTAGCAGCTCGAGTTCGTCCTCCGCCGCCCGCACTCTGTCTGGCTCCTCGGCCAGATCCGCTGCCCGCGATCGTTCCAGTGGCGCTGGGGCAAGCCAGTGGAACATCCGCTCACGACACCATAGATGCTTACTCTCAAAAACGCTCGAGCCGTAATATCATACGGCCTTTTGTCTCGTCCTTCTCTCCGCTTATCGGGCTGCACACTGATCCAGAAGCACGAGCACAGCACAGCACGGCACGCGGGTACGGCATGGCCCTGCATGGCACGGCACTTGCATGATCCGTAAATCCCAAACCGAGGCACGGCACCGCAAGCGATCCGTTGTCGAGAACTCTGGCACGGCACAGCCTGGCACGCGGACACAGCAAACACGTGTCGTATTCTCGGACATGGGCACTGCACGGCACGGCGCGGCTCACGAGCACGGCACACTTCTCGCATTCAAGCACCCAAGCACGGCAAAGCACGGCACGCTGGCACAGAATAGAAGGGCACATTTTCACATTCTAAAACGGAGGCACGGCACGGGTGAGGGGGAGGGGGAGAAGGGAGGAGGAAGGAAGGAGGAGGAGGGCAAGCAGAAAAGCCAGAGGTCTCCTGGATGCGTCCCACCAGCCCTATAGGGCGTAGGTGGTCTAGTGCCCCTTTTCCCCTTCGGGGAGGGGTTTATCACTGTTCCCTATGAATAAACACCCCCTCCCCCAGGCGACTGGGGGCCAACCAGGGTCCATGCCACCCCCCCCCACCATCCCTTTTGAAAAACAATACAAAACACACTCTGCCTCCAAATTCGGACCATGCGCAGCCAACCCGATGCGGCCCCCCCCACACCATACCTGTCAAAAAAACAATACAGAGTACACTCGGCGGCGGCGGCGGCTGCGGCGGCGGCGCCGGCGGTGGCGGCGGCTGCGGCGGCTGCGGCGGCGGCGGTGGCGGCGGCGGCGGCGGCGGCTGCGGCGGCGGGCGGCCGGCGGCGCGGCTGCGGCGGCGGCGGGCAGCGGGGGCGCGGCGGCGGTTTGGCAGCGGGGGGCGGCGGCGGCGGCGGCGGCGCGGCGGCGGCGGCGGCGCGGCGGGCAGCGGCGCGGCGGCGGCGGCGGCGGCGGCGGCGGCGGATTGGCCCCCAGTAGCTGCCCATCCAAAGACGACTGCTGAATATGCTGAGGCTCGGGCCAGACTCGGGTGCTACGTATGTGTTGGGAGGGCGGGTGGGAGTGAGCGAGACGGCTTGCGGGCGGGGAGGGGGTAACTTGACACCTCCCCCTACCCCCTCCCCTAGACCTGGACGGGGCCAGTCGCGAGGTGTCAGGGCGTCCAAAACGGCCTCGGCGAGGAAGCCAAAATCATTGGTTGCACGAAGGATTGGCCCCATTTAGGCCTCTAGGGGGGCAACGCTAATGAAAGCTCCCCTCTTGTTCGATCGGCGTCCTCCAAGATGGCCCCAAGAGCGCTCGCAAGGCTCCCAAGAGCGTTTCAAGATGGCCCAAGAGGCGCCCCGGAGGCCCCAGGAGGCCCCAAGAGGCGCCCAAGAGGCCTCCAAAAGGCTCCCAAGAGACCTCCAAGAGGCCCCGAGAGGCTCCCCGAGGCACCCAAAACGCTCCAAGAGGCCCCCAAGACGCTCCAAGAGGCCTCCACTTAGGGACCCGTCCTCTGCGTGCTGCCCGCTTCCCTGATCGAGGCAACTCCTCTGGGCATCGGTTCTGGACAGGCTGGTGCGGTTACGCGAAGCGTCTAGAAATTCTTGCAGTCCTCTTGGGCCGCCTTGGGGGCATCTTGCTGGCCCCCGGGGCCCCTTGGCGCGCGAGGGGTGCCTCGGGGGAGCCTCTTGAGACCTCTTGGGGGCCTCCTGGGTAGGGTAGGGGGCCGCACGCGAAGCCCACACCCCTAGCCCCCACGACTTCTGAGGGGGCAGGGCGGGGTTCACTTCGCTCTGGGAGCTCCCTCCCCCTCAGAAGTCGTGGGGGCTAGGGGCAGGCTTCGCGTGCGGCCCCCCAAAAAGCACGGCGCGCGGGCGCGGCACCGCACCTCTGCGGCCGTCCGGAAAAGCATTGGCACGGCACGGCACGAGGCGCCCCGCGAGCAGTGCACGTCGCTCGCACTCTTCACAGGGCGGCACGGCACGGCACGGCACCGTTTCCGCAGCCGGGAACCTCGGCATCGCACGGCACGCGGGCAAAAGGCACGGCGAGGCACCCGTGTCGCACTCTGGAGCCTGGGCGCGGCGGCGCGGCACAATCCTCTGCATCGGAGGGCCCGAAGCAGGCACGGCACGGCACTGCAGCTTTCGGCATCCTAAAACCTCGGCACGGCACGGCACGCTGGCACGGCACGGCACTCCAGCGGCATGTGTTGTCGAACTCTGCGTCTCCGAAGCGGGTCCCCTCAACGCAGCGCACTACCCCTACAGCAGTCGCTGCTTAGGGCACCCAGGCACAGCACGGCACGGCACTTGCTCGCATTCTGCAACCTCGGCAGGACACGGCATGGCACACGGGCACGGCATGGCACGTCACATGTCTCGCATCCCATGTTTCAGAAGCGGGCCATCTTGAGGCAATAGGATCCCCCAAATGCATTCGCTGCTTAGGGGAAATCATGCGAGACACATGCCATGTCAGTCAATGAGCGAGGCCCCTGTGCGCATTGCCAATCGAGCGAAGATAACGAAATATGTAGACCGCCCTGCGTTCACAAACAAGAAAGAATGAACCGTTATCCTGGCATGTCCATGGTCTCGGCCTGACACGGAGGAAGAGACTGAGCAGAAAGACGACGCCGCCAACACTGAAGAGCAGCAAAGAGAGCCACTCAGGGTGGCAGCAGCAGTAATCGTATGAACAAAAGACTGGCGAGGAGGACCACCCCTTTGGGGGGCAAAACGAACCGACCAGGACACGTGATCCGTCGGCACGAGGACCGAAGACCTGACAGCAGAGCGCAGAGCAGCGAAGAGCAGGACGAGCATGCTCCGCCTAACCCCTGCTGGGCCACCGGGCTCTGGAAGGCACGCTGCCTTCTTCTCGGGCAACAAGCAAGCTTCTGCGCCTCCTCCCTGCAGGCTGGCCAAGAGTCGGTCGCCGCTCGCGCAGACTGCACACGTATGGATCCGCGATCGCCCAGGGCCCAAGCTACAGTCGGGGCCCTGAAGAAGGAACCCTTTTCGTTGGGGAGGGGCTCCGCGTTCCTTAAGTGTTTCGCAGCTTGCCTCAGGCTTTCCTTATGTTCTCCGACAGGAAATCGAAGTTTAACTCATGGAAAAAAGGGGCCTCGTTCCTTATTTTGGGTTACTTAGGTCAAGGCCCCGACTGTAGCCAACCTTGCGACAGCAGGTCGCCCATGGCCCCCGCAGAATACCAGAGATTGACCCTTGGAATGCCTCCCCTCCGTGGCCGGCGCCCCCCCCCGGAGAATCGACCGCGCGCGACGAAGGCGGCACGCCATGGCAGCTCGACAGCCCACGACGGCGCCGAGAGGGCGCAGTGAAAGTTCCAGCAATCCCTCGTATACGAGGCCGATGTGGCATCACAGCAGCAATTCGGCCCCTGACTTTCGTCCTGGGTTCGGTTTAGTGAAGTGATGAATTTCGGGGTCCTTCGGTGGGGAAAAACATCACTTCACTAATCTGGGGCCCCTGGGGCCTCAGTGGGCCCTGGGGCCCAAAATTAGTGAAGTGATGGTTTTCGGGCCTCGGATCGTACGGCTGGCGTTGGAAAGATAGCGTTCAACACCGATCTCCGAAGAGCATCCTGCCCTGTGGGGCAATCCATCCGCGGGGGCCGCTTCTGTGCGCGCCATCCCCCCGCTAGGGCGGTTCGCTGCACGCTATCCGCAGGGTGTGGGACAGCGTGTAATCAGCGGGCTAGCGGCGCGACATCGCGTACCATCTTTCCAACGCCGACCGTACAATGCTTCCAGAAAGATGCCAACAATATCACAAAAGCTGCTGGAATTGGCAGCCACATGTGAACCCTACCTCTGCGAGTACGATTTCAGAAAAGCATGCTGGGTTCGAAAATCAAAGGAACCGCTAAGGTGTCCGACACCACTAAGGTGAACCCCCGCTAAGGTGTCCGACACCACAGCGTCGATTGGATCCGTAGGGGTAGAACTCGCAGGTGGTCGCAGGTAAAATCCACAGATAGCTGTCAAGACTGCCCACACCAGAGTCCGAAATGGCCTCCCGGAAACGATTATGAAAGGAGTCTCGGAAAAGAACACGACCTATCCTACGATGGTGACCCAGGTCAAGAGGTCAACACACCGGTCGAGAAGATCGTACGAGCTGGATCGGCCCGATGGACTTGTTCCAGATTCCCGACTGCCCCACGGTAAAATAATACAAGGACGGAGAAAAGCTCATCAGCTGGAACACAGCAATTCAACACCCTCGACAGCCTGGTGGACATTCTGTCGCTGTCTCTCGATGCGGAAGACTAATTTAGGTACCGACTGAATTCCACGGCCCAGCGGGCCAGAGGCGTGCTGAACTCTCTGGTAAGAGCTCAATCAAGAGCCCTTCTACATCGCGCCCGCGGGTCAGCCCCTGGGGTCTGCGGAGGAAGAGTCTGGGATGTGCCCGCGAACCCCGAGTCGGATATGTTTCTTCTTCTGGGCGTGGCCTTCGGGGCCCCCCAAGGACGCTCCGAATGAGCAGGGAGCTCCAGGAACCGGCCCAACAGGATGCCAAGACGGTCCAGTTGCGCTCCAAGACGGCCGAAGACAGCATCAGGAAGAAGACAGCCCAAGACCGCTCCAAGACAGCCCAACATCGTCTCAAGCAGCCCAGGATGCCCCCAGAAGCGCTCGGACACCTGGGAAGGCCCAAAGACGGACAACATTTTGATATGCGTTGGGGCGTTCAACGATTATCAAGTTCTTACGAAGTTGTCTTTTCGGGCGTCCGCCGGCTCAAAACGGTCCAGGCCTTCGAGATGGCCTCGAGATGGCCCCAAGAGGGTTAAAACAACCAAACAAAAAAAAATGACGCAGGAGGCCTCCAAGAGGCCCCGAAGATCGCCCAGCGTCAGCCCGAAAGGCTCCCCGGACGGACACCATCGCTCGGACGTCCATTCCCCGTACATGCTTCGGCCTCGTGCGTTTCTTGCAAGATGATCCAAGATGCTCCCAGACGGTCCTCACCAAGAAAAAGTGTACACGTCCGAGCGATGCCGGGACACGGGACGGCCCGGGAACGCCCCAAGGCAGCCGGAAGAGGCCTCCAAAAGCAGGCTCCAAGAGGGCCCCTGGGAGGGCCCCTGGCAGGGCCCCTGGAGGGGGAATCCGAACCGACACGCCGAGCCTTCCCCGAGGCATGGCCCCCAGGCATGGCCCCCAGGTAAAGGGGCAAACCTGTCGAGACATCCCCGCCATTTTGGCGCGAACGGAAGCCGTGCAATATTCCCTGGCGGCTCCCCCTTGGGGGTGCTGAAATTCGCGCCTCGCTCGAGACATCCTCAGAATCTGCTCTGAACGTAGACGAGCCTGACCCCCAAAACAAGCAAACCGCTTGAGCCATCCTCGCCGTCCTCCTCCCTCCTGCGCGAGGACCCCTTCGAGCGGCTCTCCGTGTGTCAGATCCTCGTGGACAAGGAGTGCGTGGAGGCGCGTAGGGAAGAATGACTCGGCTGCAGTCAAAGTCAACTGGGGGGCCATGCTGGGGAAACCGGCGCAGTCTAGTCGAGTCAAAGTCAACTGGGAGGCATGGCCCCCAGGTGCCGTGCGCAGTCCAAGTCGATGATGAAAGGCGTCTCGGGAGGAAAAAACAAAACTGCACACGTCCCCACGAGACATGGCCGCCCCCGAGACCACCAGCTGCATTCCGGGAGGCCCCCTGATACTCCCAGAGAACCAAGAAATTGCCCCAGGAGGCCTCAGGGGTTCTCAGCAACGCCGCCGAGAGGGCTCCGAGACGGCTCCCGACAGACACCAGGAAGTCTCTCGAAGAGGCGTCTTGTCCACGCCCCCGTCTGGCCCCAAGAGTTTCCCAAGAGACTATCGAGATGCCTCCTCCCGTCCTGCTCCTCCTCCTCCTCCTACGTTTCGCTCGCCACGAGAACACCAACAGATAGCAACAGCGATGCAACATGCGCCGTCGGAATGAGCGAAGCGATTGAATAAAGACGTCCTGCCCTGAGGATACTTCGGTCCTCGTCAACATCTTCCTCTTCCTTTTCCCCTTGACTGTATCTAGCACGCCCTCCTGCCAAGACGGTAGCCTCGACCCACACTAGGGTGTCTGGCTTGTACGCCTTCTCTGGCAGCTCACCCACCGACATGTACGATGTGCCATCGCCCGAAGGAACCTGCAGGGGTGCTCGCCAAGATTCGGCATAAACTGGTCCATCAGGGTTCGCGAAAGAGGCGGGGAGGAGGATGAAGCAGGGGCAGCTGGGGGAGGGAGAGAAGACAAGCTAGGTGCGATCGCGTCATATCGGACGTCCTACCCCTCCTTCCCATCCCTTACCATGGCGTAGATATCCTCTCTATTCGCATAATCGGATGTCGAGCAAGGCAATGGTCGCGAGAGGGTACGCGATGCATGGCAAAGCAAGGCATGGCATGGCGTAGTAGAGCACAGCAGAGCGTAGCATGTCATAGCATGGCGTGGCATTGCGCAGTGAAGCATTGCACCACAAAGCATTGCAACGCAAAGCCTGGCATCGCACAATGGCGCAGAACACAACACCGCACAGCATGTCATGGTATGGCGCCAAGTTATTTGGAGGGTAAGTGGGTCGTCTTCCAGAGATCTGGGCCGATTTGGAGTCGTGGCCCCATGTCTAGCTCCGCGGGCTCCCCGAAAAGCTCCACACAAGGCAGGGCTGGTGGAGAGCACCCGCTGGCTCTGCTTCCAACATCGCCTTCTCAAAGCAGAAACGGGGCTCCCGCTTGATACTTCCTGAAAACGACGACGCCCAAAGCGGGGGGGGCTTTTGCGGCCAATGTGTAATCACTTCCGATGGTTTTTCGGGGGGCATGTTCGGGCTTGCGAAAGAGGCGACGGGGAGGAGGAAGCGGGGGCAGATGGGGGAGGGGGAGAAAAAAGGGGGGCTCCCAAAATGGCTCCCAGAAAGCCACGTGAGGGTTCTCAGAAAGGCAACAAGGGAGTGCCAAGATGGCGACGTACAGGATACTCCAAGAGGCTCCCAGAAGACCGCAAGCGGGTGCCAACTAGCCACCCATGCCATCCATTGCCGCCCCAAACCAGCCACAAATGGCGACATCGTACCCTCTGGCGACCCCGGGCGTCGGTCGCAGAAGAAGCAAATCCCGCTCGATTGTCTCCGGATGTTGCCGTCCCCCTGCTGCTGTCATACTTCCCGATCGAATGTGACTGTACGAACTGAGGTGGTAACAGACAGCGCAGTCTGAGCCAGCATGGCCTGCACTGAAGAGGATCAGACCGCGGACACGAAGGAGAGTCCGCACGCCGAGGCCAGCCCCTCTGCATCCGCCCCAGCAAGCTGCACACTGACTGCTGGCCTGTCAGCCTGCTGGCAGCCCGCGGCGCCGTCTGCCAGCGAGAAGCAGGAGGCAACACGATGGGACGCAAAGAGAAACAGGAGAGCAGGAGATGGCCCCTCAAAACGGGCTGGCGCGGAGAGAGGAGAAGACGAGGAGATGGAGAGAAGGACAGAAAGAGAGAGAGGAAGAAGAAGAAGAAGAAGAAGAAGAAGAAGAAGAAGAAGAGGAAGAAGAAGAAGAAGAAGAAGAGAACTGGCTGCGGAACCGACCCGAAGACCCGACCTGGCTGTCGGCGGCATCCCACCGCACGACTCCTTTTCTCCCGCGCGCAGCCTCTCAGCCATCGTCCCTCCACGGCCTGGCCACCGACGGCAGAGCCCTGTGCCTCAGCTCGGCCATGCTGAACCTCCGCACCGCGGCGGCGGAGGCGTCGGGACCGCGGCGCTCGGCTGGCGGCCCAGGGTCCCGGGGCCTCCTCGCGGCGGCCGCCGCCGTGCCCTCGAGGGTGGGCGACGCGTCTCGCGGCGGTCGGCGCCTGTGCCTCCTGTGGCCCGGCGCGGCGCCGTGCGAGGGCTCCCTCTGGGCGACCCGGATCCCGACGAAGACGGTGCGGCGCCGCTGCAGGCCCTCGCTGGGAGCGTCGGGGAGCCGATCCCTACCCCCACGGGCGCGGCCTGGGCACCCCCCAGGGACGAGTTGCCCTCCTGGATGGGGGGCATGCAGCTGTTCCCTTCGGGCTTCGAGGGTCATCTCCCCAACTGGGGTGGTGGGATCGTGGGGATCGGGACGGGGGCGGGGATGGGGATCGGTCGAACGATACCGACCTCTGGCTGCGGGAGGTCCACCGCCCCGATGACGACGAGGTCCGCCTTGCAGTCGACAAAGTGCTGGTCGGTGCCGATGCCAGAGGAAGAGAAGACAGCACAAGCGGAAGCTTTCGGAGGTCCGCCCGGATGTCTAGGATCTGCGCCGGGCCCGCCTCCCCGGGCGCGGATCCAAGAAATCCGGGCAGCCCTACGAAAGTTTCTGCCTGTGCTGTGTTTCCTTCTTCGGGATGTCGCCCACGCTGGGCCTGAATCAGGAGGGGAAGAAACACACAGACACAATTAATCGTCCACTCCCAGGAAAATATAGGAAAATATGGGAAGTGGGGGGGGAAGACAAAAACCAGAAAATATTGTAAAATATGGGGAATGCTTTTATTTGTGTGTATTTATTTGTGTGTCCCAGGGCCCCTTCACTGAAGGACAAAAGGGTACCGATACCACCGACTACTCCACAGGCCTCTCGCCCGCGGCGCGTCCTGACCTGGACTTCGAGGTGAAACCAGTCATGGCGACGACGGAAGGGTGGCGGTATGAGGATATAGGGGGGGCAAACACACCTACCTCGCTTTTGGCCACCCTCGCTTCCAAGAGATACCAAGCGATGCCAAAGTACGGCCTGTACTGGTCAGGCCGCTTGACGAGGAGGCGCGTGGTATGACTTGGTTCTGCCTGGAAGCGAAAGCGGGGTAGGTAATTCACGCTCTGAGGATAGGAAGAAAGCGGCATAAACATAAACTTTCGACGGTCGGCGCAGATTTCTTGGATCTGCGCTGTAGCCCCCTCCCTGGCGCGCGGGGCGTGCCAGGGGCCGCGCCGGGGGCGCCGCCGGCGGGGCCCCACACAGATCCAGGGAATCCGCGCGGACCGTCGGAAGTTAATGTTTATGCCGCTTTGTCTTCTTCGGGTACTGTGACGACGACGAAGATGATGCCGATGACAAACGGTCATCGTCATCGTCATCGTCATCATCGTCATCGTCATTGGCATCGTCATCATCACCATTGTCACCGTCATCGTCACAATCACCATCAGCATCATCTTCATCATCATCATCATCATCATCATCATCATCATCATCATAATCATAATCATCATCATCATCATCATCATCATCATCATCATAAATCGTCGTCGTCATCGCTTCCCACCCCTCGGGGCCCCCTCTGGGTGAACGAGGCGGCGGCGCCCGCCAGGGTGGAGCACCGCAGGTTCACGTTGCTGACCATCCTGGCGTGCTCGCCGATCTGTGCGGCGGCGTGCAGCGCCTCGTCGAAGCGCCTGTGATGTTTGTACAGATCAGTTTTCGTGTTCTCTGGTGTGATGGTTGCTTGCGTGTGTTACGTATGTGCCGTACGTTGTGTGTGTATATATACATATATGTATGTGTATATGTATACATATGTATATACATACAAATATACCATATGTGTGTGTTGGTCGCTCTGTTTTGCACTGCGAAGATCTGCTTTACCGTTTGATGCTGTTGGAATTTGCCTACCTCGTCGAGGCGCCTGTGGTCGGCGATGGAGCGGATCATGTCACGCAGGTCCGTGCCGGCCACGGGCGCGCCGAAGAAGTGGTCGGCGGGCGGGTTGCTCTCAACGACGCGCCAGGCGACGGGCTCCGGGGCGCTGGGGGCCTCCTGGAGGGGCGCCCCCAGCGCGACGTGCCCGGAGGGGGGCTCGGCGGCCACCTGCTCCATCACCACGGAGCAGTCCTGACGACCTACCAAAGCAGCCCAACCTAACCCAAAGACCCCAACTTCGGGCAAGGGGAGTACGGGTTCCACTTGTGTTTTTTCAATGTTCCCCGACGCCCCCCCCCCAGTGGGAATGGAGGGCCAATGCGGGACTTGGATTGGGTTGGGGTGGTTTGGTGGGTGGTGAAGTCCAGCAGCACCGTCAGGGCCTGCTGCATCATGCGCTCGGAGCACTGGACGAAGAAAAGAGTAGCCTCCTGCTGGGTCTGCTCGATGAGCTTCTGCCCCTTCCACGCCCCGAAGATCATCCAGGAAGAGAGCGTGATCTCGGCGAGGAGGAACGCTGGCTCCGACTCGACAGTGGCGGTGAGCATGAAGCTTGCCAGCAGCACTACAAAGGCCTCCTTGGCATCTCGAGAGCATCCAGCCATAAAAGACGGTATCGTCATCAGAAAAGTCGCTCGCACCATCGGAACCTCATTGTAAAACTGCATGCAAGCGACCTGCGAAATGAAACATGCAAGCTGACATGTGTTGCAGACCCGCCTGGTGATCTTGGTGATGTCGTCGCTGTCATGAGAGGCGCGCAGCCAGTTGACGACACAACAATCAACAAGGATGAAGAAGGCAACGCAAATCACTATTTGATACTGCAGGTGGCCCGCAACGCCGAGCCCAACAACCGTGAGAATGTTACCAAATCTGAGTAGTCGAAATCTTGTGGCCAGTATAGTCTGGGGCACCGACATGCAAGCTCGGGAATTCCGCCAGAACGTTCGCCTCGGGAAGATAAAGCCGCGACGAGCACTTGCAAGACTGAATGCAGCGCGAGGGAGCAACTAGTACAAGACCTTCTTACCTAGGAAGGTTCGAACACACAGCAGCTACGGCAAAATAGCTTGTTCCGAAAAGGGCTACGTGCTTGAATGCTCCTAGCTGTTAGGCGCCTTATTGCTACCACCTACCATCGGGAACTGACTCGGGAAGTACACATGGAACTACTGCTCAGCTCCGAGTCACAAGCAGCCACCCAACAAACTAACTTGCTCAGGACAAGCCACCACACACACACACACTGTACAGTACCACAGCAAATGCGGCGCAGCCCCTATGCCACTGCGCAGGAGGTCCGCGCGGATTTCTCGGATCGGCGCTGGGGCCCCCCGGCGGCGCCTCCGGCGCCGCCCCTGGCGCGCTCCGCGCGCCAGTGAGGGGGGTCCAGCGCCGATCCGAGAAATCCGCGCGGACCTCAGAGTTTTCATATTTCTGTCACTTCTCGTTCCCCTAACAATTGTCCCATTGCTGTGGGTCCACAGGCACGCTACCATGTCTTTCCCAGGGGTTGGACGTACATACGAGGAAGTGGTGTTCGGGGTGGTCCACCTCGTGCTCGGCCATCTGGAAGGGCCCAACTGGCCTTCGTCTTCCCCCCCTTCTCCCCCCTATCGCTTCCCCACTCTGGCCAGGGCGCGCATGCGAAACACAGAAGGGATTGCTGTTTCCCGTGGGAACTCCGTCCCTCGCGTGTGAACCCCTCTTGCAAGTAATCCACCTGGTTGGTGCAATGGTGGCGATATCTACTAGGGGCTCCTCGGGGATGACGGGTCCTGCTAGGAATTGGGTTTGGTCTTGCTGGGAGCGGTGGGGGCGGGTCCTCTAGGGAGCTGGGCAGTCCTGCAAGAAATCGGCGATGGTCTTGCCGGGAGCCTGGGGGCACCAGGGCTCCCTGCTGGGAGTTCTGGGCCCAAAACAGTCACCGACGAAAGCTATGGAATGCGCCAGCTGGCGACCTCGGGAGGCCGCTTGGGGGGCCCAAAACCGTCACCGACGCCATCCGTGGGGCCCTCCAGCGGGTGACTCGATGACGCAGCTGGGGGGCCCCAGGAGGTCGCCGACGCAGGCTGCGGGAGCCTCGCTGGTGACCCCACGAGGTCCGCTAAAGGGGGGTGCAAAAGGTTACCGACGCACAATTAATCGTCCACTCCCAGGAAGATATAGGAAAATATGGGAAGTGGGGGGGAAGACAAAAACCCAGCAAATATTGTAAAATATGGGGAATCCTTTTATTTGTGTATTTATTTGTGTGTCCCAGGGCCCCTTCACTGAAGGACAAAAGGGTACCGATACCACCGACTACTCCACAGGCCTCTCGCCCGCGGCGCGTCCTGACCTGGACTTCGAGGTGAAACCAGCCATGGCGACGACGGAAGGGTGGCGGTATGAGGATATAGGGGGCAAAACACACCTACCTCGCTTTTGGCCACCCTCGCTTCCAAGAGATGCCAAGCGGTGCCAAACCACGGCCTGTACTGGTCAGGCCGCTTGGCGAGGAGGCGCGTGCTATGACTTGGTTTTGCCTGGAAGCGAAAGCGGGGTAGGTAATTTACGCTCTGAATTTAGGGGCCCCAGAAGGTCACCGACACAAGCTGTGGGAACCGCCAGCTGGTGACCTCTGGAGGTCGCTTGGGGGCCCCAGAAAGCCACCGACGCATGGTGTGGGAACCAAGCTACTACTGCGTTAACAGGAAAACCCCTCTGCCAACCCCGGGCGATGATCCGTCGGACTGAAGGGACGGCCTCCCCTGGCCCACCCTGGACATCGAGCCAGCGCGACGCGCGGTATGGATGATGGCAAGAATGCCGGCCTGAAGTCCGTATGATACCGGCATGAAGGTGGTTTGACACCTCTGCACTGTCAAAATCAATGTTGACTGGTGTGTGACAAAATCGCCGCCGCATTCATGTCATGTTCATGATTTCGTTTTCTCGGGAGCGGCCACGAGGGGAATGTCCAAGAGGGGGGGGTGCGAATCATGACCTGCGGCATGTGCGCGGCCCAGCGTGGGGGCCAGGGACGTAATGAAATGAGAGAGGCGCCGTGAAATCTGGGGAAATCTCATGGCCCCCGCCATGATATCCACCCGCCCTAGTCATCACCCCCCTCTTTTCCGCCCCCGATGGTCGCACCTGGAGCGCGGGCCAAACACTTTCTCATGCCGCCCCGCGGCTCTCCATACCGCCTCCAGTTCTCCACGCCCTCGCGCTGCCCACTTCGACAAGGGCAGCTCCCCGACGCAGGCCGCGGCGCGCGATGCGCGATGATCCTCGCGCCCCTGGGGGTGCGAGGTCGGCGATGGGGGTGCGAGGGCGGCTGCCGGTACCTCAAGCGGCCTAGGGAGGAAGGCCCGGGGCGTCTTCGCCAACGCCGAGGTCCGCCTGATGCCGCCGGGGCGCGGGCGGCGCCCTGGCCCCTTGCATTGTGTCGGGCGTGTCCCCCTACAGGGGGATTTTCGACGAACCCAAAAACATACCCCAAAAATACCCCTAAAATGTCGAAAAATACTCAACAAAAAATAGTCCCCAGACTATTTTTGGAGTATTTTTGGGTTATTAAAAAAACAAAACAAAAAAACGTCGAAAATCCCCCTGTAGGGGACAGGCCCGACATAACCCTTGCGATCAGCAGGTGGAGCTCCCCCTCAGCACGACCTCCCACAGACCGAAGTCTCAAGATCCGTCGGCCCCCTTGGGGGCCAAGAGGCCGCGAGGCCGAGGTGTTTCCTGCAGCCTGCAACGGTTCCAATGTCTAGTGGAGTAGTGGCCGGCCGCTGGCTCCAGCTGGAAAGTGCCGCTGCTCCTCCTCCTCCTCCTCCTCCTCCTCCTCCTCCCCCTTCTCCTCCTCCTCCTCCTCCTCATCATCATCATCATCATCCTCCTCCTCCTCCTCCCTCCCTCCCTCCCTCCCTCCCTCCCTCCCTCCATCCCTC